CGAAGCACAGTAATAGTTGCTCAGTAAAGATTTTTGAGTAATTGTATAAGTGATTGAGTTTCTTAGGTTTTGAAGGTTTTCTGTGTAGACTGAAAGCTCTGTGACAGTGAGGTTAAAATGTTAGTTCGAGTGAATAAATAGGTGATTTGCTCCTTTTAACACTTTAGCCTATTTTGGTATTTTATATAGATACAGTCATGTTGTATGTACTCTTTAGTGCCTGGTTTTTTTTCACTCAGCACAATTATTTTGAGACTCATCCAAGTTATAGGATATATGAGCGGGTTTTTATTAAATTACGGAATAGGATTTAAGTAAACTGGGGTATGTTCTTACCTTTTACCTGATAAGTCATGTGAGCTTTTTTATGCTTACTGTTTACATGGTTTATCTTTTCCCATCCTTATGCTTTTATCCTATGTCTTTATATTTAAAATATATCTCTTTTAGATAGCATGTAATTAGGTCTTGCTTTATCCTATCTGGCAGTCTCTTCCTCTTAATTGGGTTGTTTAGTCCTTTTATATTTAATGTAATTATTGATGTGGTTGGGTTTAAATCTACCTTCTTGCTACTTGTTTTCCATTTGTATCTTCTGGGTTTTGTTCCTCTCTTGGTCCTTTCCTGCCTTTTGGGTTAATGTAGTATTGTTTTAGGTTTCCATTTTTGTATTCTCTTTTTGTTTCTTAGCAAAACTGCAATAAAGGTTTCATGCCATGTTAGTGCAGATATGTGGACAGCTCAAGATGTTCACTTGGCCCCTTTAACTTGATGGGATGCAGCCTCCGCCACATCTCTTTTGTCTTGATGGGGAAAGCAGTGGCAGCTTTGTAACTTCTGAACACTTGTTCTGTGTTTTTTTTTCCCCTCCTCCTGACCCCTCTCTTCTGAGAAACTTAAGTATTTGAAAAGCCTGTTTATTACTTAAATAGGCTGTTGCTTTATGACTCCTCTTTATTACCTTTAGGATTGTGATATGTATCTGGAGAAATGTAGATTATTGTTTAATTGTTACTTTTGCCTGAATGCCCTGGGTAAGTACAGGTCAACACCAGATAATAAACTAATGTTTTCTCAAAGTTGAATTGATTGTAAGTATCTCCCATAGAAATCGTACTAGTGGTAGCATGTATGTGTCCTCCCCATAATTCTGAGTTCATGTGCTAGTGGCTCTAAAGTCCTGGAGATCAGTGGCTCCTATGAAGATGTAGAAAAGCTGTAGAAAGATGAGGATGAAGTCTTTGGGGTGTGGAAGGCAAGAATATGAATTATTCAAGGACGTCATCCTCTGCCCTTCACTGCCCTCCCAGCCCACACCTGGGGGGACAGAATCTTAGAGAATCCTTTCCAGCATATTATTCATGTCTTGCATTTGCTCAGCCAGATGTTGCCTTAGCACAGAATATTTTTACTCCAGGATAGTGATTTGAGAATTCATTTTCTTATTCAAAAGAGACCTTTCCTTTTAAGCTTCATTCTCCTTCCACACAAAAATGTTGTTAGAAGAAGATAAACTTAGCAATCTTGCTTGTGTTTGCTTTTATTTTAGTCGAGCAAAAGATGTGATAATACCAGCCAAGCCACCTGTCAGCTTTTTCTCCTCGAGGTCGCCAGTCCTTGACCTCTTCCAGGGCCAGCTGGACTATGCAGAGAATATTCGCCACGATTCAGAGGTGATACTGCTGTTCTTCTATGCCCCGTGGTGTGGACAGTCCATTGCTGCCAGGGCAGAAATCGAACAAGCAGCAAGTCGGCTTTCAGACCAGGTAATGCTGACATTCAGCCTGAGCATCAAGTGACTGTCAGTCCTATGTGGAGGATAGAATGGCCCCACAGAGATACCTTGCTCAACTGGTAGATTTTGCCAAGGTAAACTCCAGGAGTACTTTGTAAATTACAAAGCCTTCTATAAAGAAACAGAGGATTTCCAATTGTGATGGTCATAGTTAGAGGCAAGGATGGGAGCAGATTTTGTGTCTTGTGACACAGGCCAGTGCTTGTACCTGGGTGCCATGCTGTTTGGTTTCAACGTTGAAAGAGATGGAGGGACTGAAAATCCTTGTTCCTGTGTATCCATTTGATATTTGCTGGTTAGGTATTTTATGTAGGAGAAATTTATGTATGATATGACTACAGTGTGGCAAGGCTGACCTTTAATACATGGACCAGAACTGTATTAAACAGATATTTAATGAATGCCACCTTTGGGATAGGTAGGAGGGATATATAGGCAAATAAATCATCTGTTATGGCAGTGGTCTTTAGCCCAGTGGATCCCAATTGCCCTTTAGAAAGTAAATATTGTTTGATGTCCCTTTTTCTGTCCTGAAATAGAATTCATAGATGGTAAAACTTTGCTGTACATGTAATTTCAAAATAATCTAATGCACTAATTGTAACAGGTGGGGGAGAAAGGGCTTTATAACTAAAAGATATGTATATTAGTATGTAGATGCATGTGCAAAACAGGTCCTTGTACCTTAATGTAGAACTGTTGTGAATGGGATATTACACATACGGACTGTGACGTGTTGGTGACTCAGGTACCACAGAGACATTTTCCTAAATGGTGAACAACTCTTGATAAAATCCTGAACTACACGAAGTACTTTTTGCTCTCAGTTTATATACAAGTTAAGTTCCTGAGAAATTCGGTGATCATAAAAGCCACTAGATTTACACATAAAATGGACTTAGGTTCTGGGCTTGGATAATAACGGTTTTTCCCTAACATCAGTGTTTGGCATGCATTTCGAAATACTCTGGTATAATACGAATGACCCTTTCCTATGCAAAGCCATTTTGAGTACTGTAGAGCATCTGCCAGGGCCTCTGCCCTTTACATGCCCCGTAGCTTCCTTCAGTCATTTCCACAAGCAAAGAGCATCCCACAGATTTCTAAGAGCCTCCTGCTCAGAACCACTGATCTGAGATAACTTCTGCAAGCAGCTGTGTTTCATAAGAGTATTTGGAACTCTCGGTTGGTGTTTCTTAGAAACAATGTTATAAATGGTAGCTAGGCTTCCTGCCCAGCCAAGCATTTTTCACCATTATATCCCTGAAAGTGGTACCAAGTACTGTTTAAATATAAACTTTCTAATCCTTATAACTGCAGTCCCCAAGCCCAGGCTGCGGATCGGTACTGGTCCGTGGCCTGTTAGGAACCAGGCTGCATGGCAGGAGGTGAATGGTGGGTGAGCAAGTGAAGCTTCACCTGTATTTATAGCAGCTCCCCACTGCTCACATCACCACCTGAGCTCTGCCTCCTGTCAGATCAGTGGTGGCATTAG